TCCAGGAGACAGTTGGTCGTTGCTGGAGGGGACGGGGTGCACGGTTCTTGTGGCCGTGCTAGGCTCAAAGAGCGGTTCCATGCACTCAGTGTGGAGCGGACTACGGTCCAGCCACCGCCTTGTGTGCGGTTGATTCCCCAAATACAGCGTGCTTGTGTTTGCCTGTGAAGGAGTGTGGGCCGGCTCCGTTGATGAAACGTGGTTCCCATCCGCATGCCTCCCGGTCTTATTCCTTCGGGTTTACACTGGATATGGGGTATGTGGTTGGAGCTGTGGGTGGTGCAGCGCAAGCCATCCATGGTCCCTCTGTAGGCGCAGGCGTCCTGTGGCTTGCCACAGTGACAGGCAAATCCGAAACCGGATGCCGCCAACCATGTATGTATGTGTGTGCCCCATGCTGAGGCCGATGTTGCATTCTTGATGCTTCTTCACCGCAGTTGGGCTAAACCAACTTACACTTAAACTAGGTCTTTTTAAGCTGGCTAAATTTCATTCCGCTTTATTTGGTTTGTTCTGCCTCCCTGAATAATGTTCTATTAACTGGCCACGTTGCTTACACTAATTGCGCTTATCTTCGATAATATTGTTGCGTTTGTAGCATTTTAAGTAACTTGTGGACATTTCTTACTTATCACGGATTTGTTGCTAACCAACTTACTTCATATGGTAATTTAGCGAAGAGTTATGCCACCGTATCTGTATGCATTATTGGATTTATTTATTTCAGCTTGTCGTTTAAAGTGAATGGCTGTTGTTTGATATCCCTGGTATGGTTGCGCTTGATGTGTATGTTGACAAGGTGCCTACCTGTCTATTACCCACTACATCGTTCATACTGGCTCCAGGAGACAGTTGGTCGTTGCTGGAGGGGACGGGGTGCACGGTTCTTGTGGCCGTGCTAGGCTCAAAGAGCGGTTCCATGCACTCAGTGTGGAGCGGACTACGGTCCAGCCACCGCCTTGTGTGCGGTTGATTCCCCAAATACAGCGTGCTTGTGTTTGCCTGTGAAGGAGTGTGGGCCGGCTCCGTTGATGAAACGTGGTTCCCATCCGCATGCCTCCCGGTCTTATTCCTTCGGGTTTACACTGGATATGGGGTATGTGGTTGGAGCTGTGGGTGGTGCAGCGCAAGCCATCCATGGTCCCTCTGTAGGTGCAGGCGTCCTGTGGCTTGCCACAGTGACAGGCAAATCCGAAACCGGATGCCGCCAACCATTTCCTTCATGTATTGTGCCCCATGCTGAGGCTGATGTTGCATTCTTGATGCTTCTTCACCGCAGTTGGGCTAAACCAACTTACACTTAAACTAGGTCTATTTAAGCTGGCTAAATTTCATTCCGCTTTATTTGGTTTGTTCTGCCTCCCTGAATAATGTTCTATTAACTGGCCACGTTGCTTACACTAATTGCGCTTATCTTCGGTAATTTTGTTGCGTTTGTAGCATTCTAAGTAACTTGTGGACATTTCTTACTTATCACGGATTTGTTGCTGACCAACTTACTTCATATGGTAATTTAGCGAAGAGTTATGCCACCGTATCTGTATGCATTATTGGATTTATTTAATTTCAGCTTGTCGTTTAAAGTGAATGGCTGTTGTTTGATATCCCTGGTATGGTTGCGCTTGATGTGTATGTTGACAAGGTGCCTACCTGTCTATTACCCACTACATCGTTCATACTGGCTCCAGGAGACAGTTGGTCGTTGCTGGAGGGGACGGGGTGCACGGTTCTTGTGGCCGTGCTAGACTCAAAGAGCGGTTCCATGCACTCAGTGTGGAGCGGACTACGGTCCAGCCACCGCCTTGTGTGCGGTTGATTCCCCAAATACAGCGTGCTTGTGTTTGCCTGTGAAGGAGTGTGGGCCGGCTCCGTTGATGAAACGTGGTTCCCATCCGCATGCCTCCCGGTCTTATTCCTTCGGGTTTACACTGGATATGGGGTATGTGGTTGGAGCTGTGGGTGGTGCAGCGCAAGCCATCCATGGTCCCTCTGTAGGCGCAGGCGTCCTGTGGCTTGCCACAGTGACAGGCAAATCCGAAACCGGATGCCGCCAACCAACCTTCATGTATTGCGGCACAATAGCGAAGGTGTTTTCCCACCTCTAGCTGACGTGTATAATGATGATGATGACGACAGTACAGCACGGACGGTTGCACAAAAACGCGCTATTTGATGATGGAATGTATGTTATAGCACCACCGCAAGAGCTTCAGCTTGGAGAAAGCGAGACGAGATTTTGAGATGCGCATCAAAATCTCGTCTCCAGAGCTCCACATGCGCTGCTGCAAATTCCCAAGTAGACAACATTCTCAACCTTCAGTTTCTCGTAAATAATGGTGAGTGCGGGTACAAGCATCTGCAGCCTTAACAGAGTGATTTACACTTGGATGGGGGAAAGTGTACGTCATACTTTGATGCTTTATTCGCCAAGAAGATGATATGGTAAGTGTAGTCAAAATTAACGACTAGGTGCTCGACGCTAGCATTCAACAATATCTCAGTAGTATTTTTGAGTATATCTCCAATAGCAAAGGTGATGAAGAATAGGGAGATATGACATTTTTATCAGATCCTACTGGTGACAACAAAGGATGGTGCTTGCCAGCCCACCGACTCCCACGACGTGAGTTCTTGGCGCACCGGGGGTGTGGTGGAAGAATAGGATTGGTGGTCAAGTGAAATGAAGGCCCTTGGTTCGAAGTTAGCCTCGGTTGGAACCTCTCAGCTCCCTATTTGTGGTCCGAAAGACGATGAGCACGTTTGACTGGACACAGTTGTTGGCATGTCTAGGAACCGAACTCAGTGGCGTTTGTGTTTCGTTTCTTTGTCTCTTCTCACGCTTAACCTACCCCTCCAAAAAAATTGACATCAGCAGTACGCCGGTACGCAGTACCGATGCTTCGCTGCCACGCAACCACCACAAGTCGCAGGTGAGCTAAGAATACCGTTTGGGTCGCTCGGTCCCTAGGTAGGCTCGAACCTGCGCCCTCGGATTATAAGTCAAGCGTGTGATCCTTCAGGCTATGACCACGATCTAATTTCCTAGACATAATATAGCTTTATTTGCGACACAATTGCCAGTTGGTAGCTTTCCTGAACGACGTCCATCCGTTACTGATGGCCTAACTGGAGTGCCGATTTTTTCTCCTTATGTATTGTGGCACAGTAGCTTATGTATTTTTCACCTCTAGCTCACGTGTATGATGATGATTCCGGTTGATAATTCCTCCTTATTTTCTTGATTTTAATTTTATCCTTACACACCCTCCCAATCCATCTTTTATTTCCTTACCTTTGGTTGTTTTTATCATAACTCCCAGATCATGCGCACCTCGCTGCACAAGTCAAATTCATGTTGGTGCTGCTTACAACCGCTGTGCGGCTACTTGAGTTCAAATGGAATCGTATCATCAAAAGTTCCACAGACAGTGGACCATAAAGAATAGGAAATTCTTGCAAATCCTTGCAAAACAACCACTTGGCTGTACGAGGGTAGAGCAATAAGTTTCCGGATGAACGAAAGGTTTCATTTTTTACAACAAAATTAGCACTACATTTTCTCGAGGTACTCTCCACCAGCGTTTATGCACTCTTTTATACTCTCAAGTTATTTTGTGAAGCAACCGAATCGATAAAGTCACCAAACAGATCAATGTAGGCCTCCATTGCAACCTCTGTAGACTCAGCTGATTCCACACATCATGCGCTTGACATTTGAGAACACAAAAATGCCACGCGGAGCCAGATCTGTACTGTAGGGTGAGTGGCTAACCTTCTGGATGCGTTCTCTAGCCAGAAAATCTACGACTTGTGACTTGTGTGCAAGTGTGTTGTCATGATACAGCATGGTCCATCGTGTTCGAGTCCTTGGATAACGCTTGGCTACAGCTGCCGGCATTTGTGGCAGACTGAGTGTCGTACCAGTCTCCGGTGATTGTGCGTTGCCGTACGAGCGGTATAGTAACCATCATCTGCTTGGTCACACTGCGCTCATGCTCTAATTTCTGAGGCGGCGCCCCACCAACGGCCGTCCACTTAGCCGATTTCCGCTTGGTCTCTGGGTCGAAACTGTACACCCAGGTCTCATCATCACTGAGGATCTCCCAAACAGCATTGGAATGTCCACCATTAAACCTGACAAGCATAGTGCGGCAGCCATTTACCCGAGCTGCTCTTTGATCTTCACTGAGCTTATGGGGTACCTAGCGTGTGCAAATCTTTCTGTGTCCAAGGTTGTCATGTAGGATGGTGTGGAGTACTCCTGATGGGATCTTGATCATCAGCAGTATCCCGTTACGCAGTACCGACGCTTCGATGCCGCGCAACCACCACCGGTCGCACGTGTGCTAAGGATACTGCGAGGGTGGCCCTGCCCCTACGCTGGTTCGACTTCGCGCCATCAGATTTCCGTACAAGCTTGTTACCTTTGGGTTGCATGCGCGAATATGAGATCCCGTTGACTTTCCAAAACTGTACCACAGTCATCCGCGCTACCTCCTCCAGCATGGGTTGCACAGCAGCAATCTTGTCCGCAGTTGTGGCTTCTACAGGTCGACCACACCGTGCCTCATCATCAAGATATCGACTGCTATGCTTGAATTCCGCCAACCACTTAAACACGGTGGTTCTTGAAGGAACATCATCACCAAACGCAGCACGCAATCGCTCAACACTTTGGTGCTGCTTTCAACAACATTTGTAGTCGTAGAAAATCATCGCCCTCCAGTGACATCGCATGAGTTCCATGCTTATGAATTGTGAGCTGTGCTGTACTTCTGATACATGGTTCTGTGAGTTGAACTCACTGAACAGTACTCAGAATGGATTACAGTTCACATTCTTCTTGCCAGCTCATCTACACCTAATCTGTGTACTTCGTATCCGTAAACTTATCGCTCTGCTCTCGTACATCCTATATCGCTGACAATCATTGTGGTCACTGGTACTTTACAGCTGCATATCAGATGGCTGTTTTTCCCTGTTTCCCATTGGCTGTTTTAGACTTGCTTCGATCGCTGAGCGACCACTGCCGATGCCTCGTTCTTTCATGTTGCTGTTGTTCTTTTACGGGATGGTTATATTTTCCGAAGAACACAATCACGTGCATGAACCACCGCATTTCAAGTACTCAAGGGAGGCCAATCTGAGGTAATTGGCATTTTTATTTAATTGTATTTTGTTCATCTACTTCCATTCCCCCTCCTTTGAATCGATGCCTCCCTTTTGCTTTTAATTAGGAGTTTCAAGATAGGACTCAGTCGCAAACATAGCTAGTGATATCGCAAAAGCAGGGTTATGTTTGGTGGATTTGTGGCCAACTGGTGGCTAGTTGATGCACTTAGCGCTTCAACATTATGTTCTAGGTTCACAACTGATGAAGTTCTAGAAAGTGCATCCACTGTATACGACTTAGAAATATTATTATTATTTTTGTTATTATTATTATTCAACACTTGGCCAATTTACAATTGGTACTGCCACAACACATAGTTAACAGCAGCAAAAGGGGGGGAATGGGTAGTCAGTGAAAGGATTTGGAAAGTTTAGAAGGCTGTGTTGTGTGGGCAGAGATCTTCCCGGTTGCCCAGGCCGAGGAAGTGGGTTTAATTAAGGGACCCCACACCGAACCGTTAGCCTTAAGACCTAACCCGCAAGGCAGCGGGACGATTAACGAGGACCGTTGACATCCGGGTGACTCCTTCGCCTTCTTTAGGTTCGGTAGCAGTCCACAGAGAAGCCAGTGGCCAGCATGGTTGTTTATTCACTCTCCATTATGTACTCACCTCTGGTTACAGAACGGTCAGTGACCTTATAGCCGGTCACATTGCCTTTGACACCGCGCCGTACGAGCTCTTGTGGTATTTGATGGAAAACCAGGTGACCAACCCAGAAATCCCCACCCTCTGAGACGCTGCCGCTGATTGTCCGCGACTGCTTATTCATCTCGCCTGCAAGGCAAACGGGTCTTATTCGCAGTTACCTCCACAAGAAAGGCATTCCCCGATCCGTAACCTGGGGATGCGCCCGGTAGCGTACAGCTCCGCCACGACTTAGACACTGCAGAACTGATCTTAGGTGAGCAAGTTCTTGACTTGAAGTATGCAGAAGATATTGTCCTTATATTCGATAGTTCACAAACATCTCATGCAGCACTGGCCAGATTAGCGGTGGCTGTCAACCCTTACGGGCCGTGTGTTGCACCCTCTATATACAAAGCTTTCTGTTAAGTTCTGCCTACCGCGTGCGAAGCCGGTTATTGCAGTCAGGTTCTTTGTAAACCTCCCAATCCAACCTGAAAATCAGAAGACAAAAGACATTGGTGAAGATTGGTTGTTAACAAGAACAACCACTAGAATACAGTCTATTCCGCTCGAATCCACATCATATTTTATCTGTACAGAAGTGATCCGTTGTGGTTAACTCAGAATTCGCTTAATCCAACTTACGCTCACTACGCAACTTAGCAAATAATCTCCGGTAGTTTTAAATCTGGTCAATCCATCTTACCTGTAGTGGGAATCTGGTTTCGCCATTAAAGCATCTATTCACTCTAATACTTTCCTTCATGCTTGCCATGACCGATCCCCGCTTTGGTCCTTGGTGGCGATAAGCTAGAAATAGTCCAGAAATTAAGTTACATAGGCAGCTATCAGCGCATGTGTAGCAGATCTGATCAAAAGCCGTATAGGAGAAACTAGGCGCGATTATGGCACCAGTGCAATATTATTCTCGCCCTGTAGGGTGGTGTACAGTGCAGCCGCCCCTGCATTACTGCTGTGGGATTGTGCAATCTGGCTCATCAGATTGATAAACGTAAAACGGTTAGTTACGTCCGACCATCGATGTTTTCGCCATTTGTCTCACATCTGATGAGAACACCGTATGAACAGTGATGGTTTTCTACATTTCGTATTTGATGCAGGAAGAAAAAGTGAACCGCTCGCCACCGTTATATCATGCACCAGGCTCCAATCGCTGGGATTTGTGTTACGCATGCGAACACGCCGACTCTCGCAGCATGCGTTCTTTGCGTAACCGGGGTCTGGATGGAATAAAAAGAGACCAGTTGTTAGCTTGGTCAAGAGCACTGTCTTTGAAGTTGGCTTCCGTTGGAGTCCCTCGATTTCCTAGTTGTGGTCCGAAGGAGGATGAACACATTTGCTTGGATACACTTATTGAGATATCGAAGATCCGATCTCGGTGGCGACTGTGTTATGAATTCCTTTCTCCCACCCATTCGCTTAGCCCCAATGCATAATAGAAAACAAAACATCGTAATATATTTTTGTGGCTTTCGTTTCTTTGTTTTTCTTTCGCTGCCACCCAGTTGAATTGTATTGCGGCACAATAGTTAAGGTGTTTCTCACCCCTTGCTCATGTGTAGAATGAATGATATCGCAGTAATAGTCAATTACTTTCTCGGGCCTAGTGGTGGTCGCCCTCCACCGGTCTCGCAACTTCAAATATGGGGCTTTTGGTTGCCTAAAGGGACCTCGAATTACTCCTCATGATTAACTGATTGTTCAGTGCTCAGAAATTGCCTTGCGTTTATTAAATCAACTTCTAGATGATCCTGATTATGTTGTATAAAACCGCATCCGTCTATGTAACCACTTGAGGATGTATTCATTAAATCTCGTACTTAACTCATATGTCTTCCTAGCTACAAATGCGTTCGTGCCCACTGTGAAGCGCGCTTTCCCATTGTCGTTACCCTGCTGGCACACACATACAAGTTGTGATCTCGCTGATGTGCTCCACCGCAGTCCAATTTCGATGAGACGCCTCTTTTCGCTTAGCCATGTTACTGAGGTGTTTTACGAATTATAGCGGATAAACATTGGGTTATAAGGTGTCGAACAGCAGCTACTCATGCATCTCACATGCGGTCCCAGCGAGCGAAATGTCTGAGGTCCACTTTGAAATTAATCGCAGTCCAGCTTAAGGTTGCGTGTCATCATTAATTCACACAATGATGCTACAGAATGACCCAGCATTTAGTCATAAACCCTTGTTACGGGCGTTATTCGTCTTGATTTGGTGGCTTAGGTGTAAAGGCTTCGGCCGGCGTCACAACATCCGAGGTTTGAGTTGCAACGCTTTTATCTGACGAGCGCGAGCAAGTAAGAAATCGATCGAGGAGTGCCGTGCGGTGAGCAATCAACATTTAACCCCCTGATTTCTCCCTACTCATACTCTTAGGATTGCGTCAGCCGGCTACAGGCCTCGGGAGATACTCGTCGCCACACATGTGTTTTAACGGATAACTGCTTATCCTGGACAGAATTAAGTGCTTCAATATCTTCATGGGTGGAGGGGCAGTCGAACATTGTATTTTGTGACAGTCACGGAGGCGGTGTATTGCCTCGCTGAATGATATGTTGGTGAAGATAGACTTCACATAAAGCGAGTGCACCGGTTTTCCGGCCACCTTTATGTGTTTCAGTTAAAGAACTAACTCGACGGTAGTCGATGAAATAACTTTGTATGGATTTTCTTCAGGCTAAAGCATATGCCATTAAATTGGTATAGTAGCTTAACAATGGGGATAAATGGATGCACAGACAATCCCATTCTGTATGCTTTAGGCAAACGGTACATTTGTGGAGTACAGTTGCCCGCGTGCCTTAGCATTTTGGTTTCGTTTTCGGATATGAATCCATGGCCTTAAAGAATTTGTGATTCGTGACTCAATCGCAGAGTATGAGAAGTAGTATCCAGCCTTATTTTTAATCTCTCATGCAAAATGATTTCCGTCTCACGTCGTGAATACTCCAACTCGTCTAACTTGACCACTGCGGAACTTTTACCCTACTTTCATATGATTACCTACTTATTGCGTTCCAGCTTGCGAACAACCTAATGTTGGTATGTGAGTAGATACGACAGAGGAGCACGAAGGAACTCACCGCAGGGCTGGCTCTTGGTGTCTGTCGCTTTCCTAGATAGGTCCCTCTGTAGGTGCAAGCCTCTCGTGACTGTCCTATAGAGGCCGCAGTGACAGACAAATCCGGAAGCGGATGCCGCCAATCATTTATACAAAATGCAGATCTGGCGAAAGCATTTCCACTGTCTCCTAAGCAAACGTTCACAAATTGACTGGGCAACGTTGGACGGGATGCGGCAGCAAGAGATGAAGTTGTGTCTTGCCGACAGTGCTTGAGTCGCAGAGAGCACTTGCTCAGCTGCGAAACGACAATCGCTGGTTCCGACATGATCCCGCCTGAAGTATTGAAATATAGTGGGCCCGCGTTGGCAAATGCGCTGTACCACTTGGTGCAACACGTGCGGTTTGAAGAAGCGGTGCCGGCCGATTTGAAGGATGCGCTTGTGCTACCACTGTACAAAGCAAAGGATGCAAACAATGTGCCACGAATTATCGTGGTATTAACGTACTGAGTTGTGTGGGCAAGACAATTACCCGAATCCTGCTCAATCGCCTCGTCAGTCAGGTTGTGGAACCGAACGTGGCGGAAGAACGATGCGGAGTCTATTCGCGACGTCGCACCATAGATCTGGTGTTCGCGGTTCGTCAGTTGCAGGAGAAATGCAGGGAGTGAAATCGGCCCTTTTACCCGCTGTTTGTAGATTTCACCAGAGCATTTGACACGGTGAACCGCGATGCACTATGGCTGATGTTGAGTAATGTTGGTTTTCCGAGTAAGCTTGTACGTTTACTTGAATGTCTGCACAGTGATATGCGGGCTAGGGTGCAGCTGTGGGGACAAACTTCGGATGGCTTTGATATTGTCTCTTGTGTGGAGCAAGACTGTGTCCAAGCCGATACCCTGTTTAACATTTACCTTCATGCATTGATGTCGCTTGTGATTACGGTGTCCGTGTGAAGCACCGTATTGATGTTGGGTTTCTCAACATCCATCGTTTTGGAACGAGAGCCCGTGTGTGAGACAGCCAGCCGTATATAACTGTTTGTTGGTGACTGCGCGTTGTTTGCACACAACGCGGGATGGCGGTTGTCGCTTCGACAGCGGTCAAGCTCGGGCTCACCATCAACACAAGCAAGATTGTTTGTCTTTTACAGTCTTCACTGGAGACGGAAGCCGTGTGTCTGCCCCAAATATAGATTGGTAAGACGTTTTGTAGTATGTACTCTCGACCGACCCATATGATAAAAGAGTGGCGTATCCGCGTTTCGAAGTCGGCTACTGCATCTATAAATAGCTGGAGAATCGGGTGTGGAACAATCATCGGTTGACCATTGGTACGAAGCTGATGGCATACAAGTCGATGATTTTCTCAGCCCTTCTATGCGGCAGTGCAACCCGGCCGCTTTATCATTAGTTATTTGGAGCGATTTCAACAACATGGCCTGCGTCGTGTTCTGCGCATCGGCTGGGGTGACCGAGTTGCTGGCACAGAGATGCTACACTTCACTTCGGTTTAGTTGATCAACTATGGCCCGATCAACGAAGTGCGGTGGATTCATTTACCACGGCTCACATCGCAAGCTTAACAAAAAGATGACGGCAAGCTAATGGGGTTGAATACAAATAGCATGTAAAGAGAACGGAAGCAACGTGGTGCGTTAGTCTTATCACATTAAAGCGAGAATCAGCAACCAGATGAAAGAAACCAGATGCAGGCGCGCCACTGACTGCGTGACTGCGACATGTTTGTAAGGGTCTCCAACCATCCGTGTGGACCATCCTGAGGCTCCCAACCGGGATGATGACACGCAACCGCCCGACCAAGTCACTTTCAATTCGAAGACTCATTGCCAGACGTCATTTTAGATGGTTACGAACACACTGAAACTCAATGCCCCTTGGAACCCGTTTACGCACTTCGATCAAACTAATCGGTAATTCAGGGAACCATTCACAGGTACACCACTGGCGTCAAAGGCATTCTTTACAGCACACTTTAGACGATCCCAAACAGCGTTCGGCTCACCAACCTCATTCACAACTGGCAATTGGTGGGCTAGTTCGTTATGATATTGTTGAACTGCACATTCCGAGTTCAAGTTACAGCTAAGATGGTTAGAAACTAGGCGCTTCTTTGAAGCGGGAAGTGCGAGTGCCAGACGTGCGCCCACTAGAGCATGCTGGGAATTCAGGCAGTGCTCCAAATTGACCGGTAGTCTTGGACTGATGTGCGCCATCTGTTGCCGATGGGAATATGATCACTTTGGGTTCATGTCATTGAGGAATTCTGTGGGCGCCATGTGAACGTTTGTGCTGGAAAACAGTACTGCTAAGGTAAACTTGTGGTCCGCGTACAATCGCTTAAACAGATCACCATTGTCCGTTCGGCATGTATCAACACCTAAGCTGCCTCCCAGGTGTTTTTCAAAGCTTGAAAGACGACCTACTTGGGCATTCATGTCACCAGTAACAATCACGATATCAGTACTCTTCGACATGTGAAGAAGAGCTGAGAGATGTTGATAGAAATCATCTTTGGTACCCTCTGAATTGCATACATTGGGGCATAAACTGAGGCGATGAAAAGGCAACTTGGCTTCAGGTTCGAAGTCCAGCCGCACACATGCGGTTCACCCGCATCCATTCGAGTAGATTGCTGTCACCAACACTTTAATTACCTTGAGCCATGGAAATAATAACCCCATGGAGTCCAGAGTTCGTCAGAACGCTGTTATCTTGTATACTGGTTTCGGAAACATAGCACACATCAAGACTAAAGAGCGACGAGTGAGAGTCAGGGTTTCCTGTTGGCTGACCTGATCAAGGGTGCAGACCTTAGGTGCACCGATGTAGTGAGACCCTAGGTTTGATGGTACATCTACATGTATCGATGGAAGCAGCTGCAAGGTCAGCCGCAGTCGCTTGCTCAAAAGCAGTTGGAGAAGAGAGTTGAGAGCGAAAATAAGAAGAAGGAGTATTGTCAATAGGGCAGATGGTACTCTCCGGTCGCCCATTCCGAAAGGGGGGTTTTGCATGAGGTGCCCTGCTTATAGCCTTTGACTCAACAATCTGACCCACGTTGGGGTACATGGAGATTCCCTTGACGGACTCCTCCAAGAGATTTTGGTTTAATAGCCTGACCCACAAGGCAGTGGGGTGCTGCTCCACAGTTACCTGTGTGTAGTGGACTACGTACGTCTGTTGTGACACCTGAGGTGATTAGCATGTTCAGCGCATGGATTCCACCCATATACCTAAACAGCCGCTTTATGGCCAAGTGCTTACAGGGAACTGGCGCGTGGGAAAACCGAAGTTACCTTACCATGGCATGAACAACGTGAGTCTACCACGATTCAATGTTTATTCCAGATATTGGGAAGCGATAACAGTGTATCGGCGCCGGTGGCTACAGCATATCAACAAGGAGGATGCCCAGGTGCATGAGGAATCACTGTTGCATGCGGAAAAGAAACGCCGAGTAAGGAGACGACGGGCGCCGAGTCCATCGACTTCGAGCGCATAGTGCTGTAGCACATGCACTCGCGAATGCTGCAGCCAAACCGGTATGGTAAGCCACCAGCGTGGCCCCACGGGTTCAACGTCAAAAAAGCGACGAGCCAGTTGATTAGATAGTCATCATCAGTGCGGCACTTGGTAACTACGCTGTGTCCCCTTCTGATTCCATCTACTAAGCCAGGCCTCTAATGCGGTCGATGTGGTGCGTGTGCTACCTCATTGCTACAGTTGGTCTGTATTTGTGTCTGTGTATTGAGCTTCTTGCATTTCACATGTTGGTTTTTGATTGATATCCCCGGTCTGGCTGCGCTTGATATGAATGTTGACAAGTTACCTACCTGTCTAGCGGCTTCCACCTCGATGGTGGATAGCCCACCGACCTCGATCGCATTGTGCTGTAGCACATGGGCTCGCGAGTGCCACCGTCAAGCTGCCTTAGTAAGCCACCAGCGTCGCTATGTTGGGCCAACATCTAAGAGAAGACGAGTAAGCTAATTTTGTAGTCATCATTAGCACAGCACCTGGTAAGTTGGCTGCTTCCGATTTAAATTCCTAACCTGGACCAATAAGGCGTTTGGTGTGGCACATGTGCCGCTTCGTCGTTGCATTTGGCCTGTACTTGTGACTGCTTGTTGTGTTTCTTGCATTTCATGTGTTGGTTGTTGCCTGTGATCCCCGATGTGGGTCCGGTTGATGTAAATATTGACAATGTGCCTACTCGTCGTCTAAGAGACAGCTGGTTTTTGCTTCGGGAGGCGGGACACACGGCTTTCATGAATGTGCTTGGCTTAAGGTGTGGTTCCATGCATATAGTGTGGGGTGAGCTATGGTCCCGCCACCGCCTTGTATAGGTTTTGTACGCATAATCTCCCAGTTAGATATGAATGCTGCTGATGTGCATGTTATTAGGAGTGTGGGCCAGTTCCGTTGATGAAACCTGACCCCCATCCACATGCTTCCCGGTCTTATTTCTTCGGGCTTGCACTGGATATGGGGTGTGTGGGTGGTGCAGCATTAGCCATCCATAGTTCTGCAGTCGCTGACGTTCTGTGACTGTTCCTTGGAGGTCGTAGTGACAGGCACATCGGGAACCGTATATATGTACTCATGAGTAACGGGATTTAGATGTCATTGATGGAGAGTTCGTTGCAGCAGCTTCCTATACAGAGAATCCTCCCCTGCACATTCAGTTATTATACTTCATCATTGGTCATATTTTTATTATTGTGGCAACGCTGGATCCGACGTCTTTCGGTTCCCATTTCACAACTGGCTAATTGGGCTGTGCTCAGAAAATTTTCATTCTGATTTTGCCGATCAACCAAATATTTTCCCAAGGGGCTTGATCACGAAACCGCAATCTACGCTTCTTCTCTTACTGTTCCTTTTCAGAGAAACCAAATCACACAGAGTACATGTGTTAAGACGGAATTTACGAACTGATTCCCCGCTGACACTTTGGTTGGAAACCTCCAGCGCGGTGTTGCTAATTAGCGCAGCTCCCTTCTTCATACTGTTTCTGCTACCGGATTTGAATAATCACCAGGGTTTACTAAAAGTCCTGTTGGCATTTGCCGCAGGTGGATTACTTGGGGATGCTTTCCTTCACCTCATTCCTCATGCGATCAATTCCGGTGGCGAGCATCATGGGATTGAAGTTGACCATCATATGTCACACCACAAAGACCGACATGACCACACGCATCATACAATGGTAGGACTGTCCGTAGTGGCTGGGATATTCGTCTTCCTCGTCGTGGAGAAACTCGTTCGCCTTGCTCGACATGGACATTTCGACCATATCCACGTAGCTGAGCCGTCGTCGGTCCCCAACTCTGTCACCATTAGCGATTCGAAGAATAAAAAAAACAAAAAGGGTGGTGGTGATGACCACACAAAAAAACGTGAAAAGAAAGCTAACGGGCCAAAACATGGTGAGTTAGGCTTACCAAATTCGTTTTGTATATATTATTCCAACATTACACCATACCGATTTCGGATTTATGTTTGTCTTTCTCAGCACATTTTTAATTCAGCTCTCTATTGCTTAAAAATGGGATTATGTTTGTGATTTTTTGGTATGATGCGAACGGGCTCTGATCCGCTTGGTCACCTGGTCGGTTACTGGTTTGGTTATATCCAACTGCGTTCGAATGCTCTGGGAAACGAGCAGTCTTGCACTTATACATCTGTGCTTACCGACTCTCGATATGCCATCGTGCCACACGCACACGACGGTAAGATTGCGCTTCCAATAACATTTTTCGTAATACGTTGTATTCGTTCTGGTATTTTTGTGGTTTGGTTATCTTTAATGGTAGCGAATAATCTCCACAACGCGTGCAAAATGAGGACAAGACCGCTCAGTTTTGCTTGCTCATTTCTCAATTTCACGTTATCGAGTGAAATAGCTGCAGTTTCGCTGCCTGTTCAATTCGGTGGCCCACCTTTGCGGCCGAATAGAGATTGCTCCTTCTGACCAACTGGTCACCTGTTATTAGCGGAGTTAAACAAACTGGCTTACGTTCATCAAGGTTCCATAGCGCAAAGTATGCACCCATTTCCACATGTATGTGAAGCATTGAGTGATCGGAACATTAGAGTTCCATCACGATTGTTGTTCTCCACTAATTCACTGCTAAATTCGCCCCAATTCGGCTTAAGATTTTGAATAGACGTGTTGCAACGTGTCACTTATGCCGCGTTCGCATTATGAGTCCAGTCTATATAAGCAACATGGTTCGAATCTTCCCTTAACTGCATGCAACTTCGGAGACTCTTTACACACCCATTCGGACGCTCGTTGTCTAAACGACCACTCTTTACTCCTCTGGCGAAAGCGCGCCTTTCTACGCCGCTAGTTAGCGACCGGTTGATTTTTCTTGTCTATGTTAACAAGATTATTTTTGTTAGATTTCTCCATGCATTGGAATTATTTCGTGGAGATTACAATAGCATTCAGTTTCATTTCTGACTCTGGATTTTTCGGCCATAAATACTTGCATTATCTCTGTTTAACTTCCGATATCTTACTATCATTTTGTGCTCCACAACTGGCCACCATCTTGGTCTCGGATTTTTCATAATGCCGACACCGTCACCTTGCTGTTCTTGTTCCAAGATTGTCGGAAGTCGAGCACATGCACTCACATGTGTTATGTGTCACGTTAAATTCCACATTTCATGCATTGGACTATCTATTGAGCATTTACGACGTTTTCGTGAAATCCAGCATGATTTCGTTCACATTTTGCGTAAGAGTTGCCAAAACGAGATAGAGCCGGCGAAGGTAGACCAGAATCACAAACCGTCTTGTAGGATGAATCATTCTGTTGAGAGCAGCTCCATGTGTTTGGCCAAACAAGCTAGCCCGAAGCGCCTCCAGGTTTCAGATAAGCTTTCCTGCTCGTCCCGTACAAACTCACCGGCACGAAGTCCCGCAGTTACCAGCAGCCCAGCTACACCTGACGCGAATATTTCACCTGTGTTGTATTCTACAGGCACAGATGTCCCAGTGTGTGAAGGCCTGTGTACTGAAGATATTTGGAACGTACAAGGAAAGAAAAGGCAGAAAAATGAAAAGAGTCCAGCCGCTGTAAATCAATGACAGTCAAAACCATGTGAAGCGCGAAAAAATATCCTCGTCCATCAAGGTCAACCTTGGTCGACCAGAAGCATTTTAACCTCATGATTCTCCACGCGCCTGAGTTCAGTGATCCAACTTCCCAGATACGCTACGATCATGACGTCGACTTTTAAAGAGCTTAATTGACAGACCCCTCGACCTAGGGGAGTACAGGTTGAAACTGAAGCAAGTTACCCGTCTTGGAAAGAAAGGTGATCAACAAAGACGACCAATCTGAATCACCTCTACAGCCTACCTAGCCGTGACAGTATTCGCTTCTGTCTGACCTCGCCAGCAAAACTTACCCGCATAGTCGGTTCTTCTCAGCAGTGTTTTTTCCGACGGGAATGACTTATCCCATTTTCACTCCATCCTCACCCACAACTAGAAGTCTATCAACCAGGTTCAGTAAAAACAACATTTTGATCATAGCGTGTCTGAGGATTTGGGTCGGTATCTTCAGGCGCGTGAAAAAGTACCACATTTGAAGCAGATCCTGCTGGAGGATGGTGACCTGGAACTGTACTTCACTTGGCTTGTTGTTGATCAACAGCCGGAAGCTTCTTTTCGTTTCGCGGCTTCTGCAGTTGAGTTTTTCATAGTTCCTCAACCGTTAGATATTCGCTAGCAGAGCTCAGATTCATTGGGTCCCCTATCCTCACTTAATGTCTTGATCTGGAATACTTAGGATGGTGATGTGATGAATTGTCAGAGGTAGAAGAATGGAAGGCCGGCTTGCGTGGCCTATCTAGAACTGATCCCAAGATAAACATTTTGGCTGCGATCGGTATCGGCTAACTTTGTGCGTTGTGTGTGTGGCTGCCTTCGACTGCAACAATCGTTGCACAAAACTTGGCTGAACTCATGTTGAATGGAACTCAAAAGACAGCGGGAATCGGCAAGTAATCCAACACCAAGTATGGAATCTTGCACAACAATCAGAACACACACTGCACACTGAAAATAGAGAACCGGTAGACATGCGTCTGCTGGGTTTGAGCGCCCAAAGCATGCGCAGTCCGTTTCCATATACCTTCTTCCTGTTGTCTACAGACTTCAAATCGTAGTGAGAGAGTCCGCTGAGATCTTTCACAGAAGGTGTGGAATGCAACGATTGGCCAGTCATCGTGCAAGTACGCCCATCAGCACCCTTCCCCAAGTTCATCTATAACGATTTGACATGGTTGACCCGGCAGATCGATAGATGCAGACCATCTGGACTGGAGGTCCTGGTGATGTTTAACTACGTCGAAGTCGTCGGGAGTATCAACTACTCTCCAACTCTTCAGTTAGTCTGCGAACATCGCACAAAGCGACCGAAGAAGCTGAGACACTTCGTTGATGTGGATCAGGAATAAGATGGGCCCTGGTACTCTATCTTAGGTTACATCACAGTTGGAGGGAAACCGGTCCATCCATTTCTACCCTCCGTTTCCGTCCCATAAGGAAGTCACTGATCCACTTGTGCAGTGAGCCACCAACACCGCACATCCTCAGCTTGTTGAGGAGGACCTCATTGTTCACTTTCCCGAACGCTTTACTGAAAACAATGTAGATCACATCCACCGGTTCAACGTTTGCAGCCATTCATGCTGTGTCAACAACAGGTCGGTGGTACAGGAGCGGCCTTTCATGAAGCCGTGATGTGCGGTGGTCAGGATGTTTTTCGACTCCGGCAACTACAGTAAACCCCTTTTCACGATCATCTCTAGTACTCTGGCCAAAATGGAGGTCATGCAAATCGGCCACTAACTGTTCACCATGCTTGGGCCACCACCCTTCGGAATCGGCTACACTATCGAGCATTTCCATTCGGTCAGCAGTGCACCTTCGGATAGCAATCTGTTGAACAGCTCGGTCACGGACGGCAAGATGACGGTCGACAGTGACTTGTGAATCAGCAGATTGAACCCATCTGGACCGGCTGGCTTCGTGCTGTCAAACTGACATTTGTTGTGTACACCTGAATTTTCGAACAGGAACCACAAGGTGATTTCTTCGGACATTTTGAAAAGTGGCGTGAAGGTGCCGTGAAATGGTAAGATAAAATTAGCAAGACGCAACTCCGAAGACTGTGGAAAAATGCGACGCCAAATTTGCCCCGAAGATTTCAGAAACAGAAATGAAACCGAACAAAGGCGAAATTTCCACCAAATAGCTTTAAGGTACCGATAAATCCACCAACAGAGTATGCTGACAACACAGCCTCAGGATACTCAACCGGTGTCGCCAATCGCAGCTAGTGATGACATGTTCAAGAGGTATGAAGACTCTCACTTCGAACTTAGCGTCGGTTGCTGTTTTCCAACTGCCTGGCTTGGGTCCGAAGGACGATTAACACGTTTGATTGAATACACAGGTTAACATGGCGAACAACCGACCCCAATCGCTTTTGTGTCGCGAGTGTCTTTGTCCCCCCCTCCCCCTATCTTTTCCCTCCAAACAAGTTCCCACAGAGGAGGCTTAATATGACACTAAGTATCCTCTTATGCTTTTTGGCTTTATATTATACTCTGTAATGTTTTGTATCTCATTTTCTCTTCATACATCTTTTTTATTGTGGCATATTAGCCGAAGTGTGTTTATTATTTTCGTTTAACGTGTGTTATTAATGCTGCTGCTAATGATAATGATGCGAAATCGAAACGAATAAAAGACATCTTGCCTTCAGTCGGTGTTTATTTACCCAAATGGAGGTTCGAAATCGAACCGCACAGATGCGGCTGTTCACTGGTATCTAGTCAAGCGAACTGCATTCTGCGTTTTTCTATTGATGATACCATCAACAGTTCGGGCAAGTACCGAGTAGTTCAAGTGTCTTGTTTGTTATCCAAAGTTCGCCGTTTCGAGTCTGCGCAGGCGCGGACCTCCTCGCAGTTAGCTCAGTCGGCGCGCGACTAGTGGTGGACGCATGTCAGCAGAGCATCGGCGCGGTGTCCCGGTCTACTGTTGATACTCTTACGTCTACAGTGCAAGCACCATGAATACTTTGAGTCACTGCCCCAATAATGCCAAAGACGCGAAAAATGCAATCATTGCTTTCAGAGTAGGAACCAAGGAGTCACATTTTTCCCAATGCCGTTACCTTTGTTGCTTGTTTGCCGACCTGACCCAGAGTGCGGACGTTACGCGAACTGGTTTGGGATTCGGTCATTAGTTTGAACGACAAGTTGCATGCATCGACTGCACCAGCTGGGAAGTCAGCGCCAGTCTCTTGCTCATTAATGCAAAAAAAGAGTTACGAGGGGAAGGAAAAACCGGGAGTAGTGTTGGCGACGAGGTCGCGAGGATGTATATGAGTGAGGGGTTTTCGCTTGAGGTGCCCAACATTTATTCTTTGATTCAACAGTCTGACCCGCAAGGTAGTGGGACACGTGGAAATTCACTTGAGAGAGTCTACCCGGGGTCCTTGACACAGTGACCCGACGCGCAAGGCAGAGGAGCAAGTCCAGCTCGGGAGTGTGATTGCAGATATGCTTGTGCTTTCTCATACAGGGTTTTTGAAGATTTAGAACGATCACATGCTTTTGGCCGTATTACTTTACGCACCTGTGTTACAACCAACTGCAGATGCGGTATTTGGCAGTTGTATCCGTTCTTACCCTACTAATTTGTGTTTTTTGTATTGCGGCAGATTAGCTGACGTGTGTTTCTCAAGCTCAGCTAACGTGCATTGATGATGTCGATGATGTTGGTGATGATGATGATGACGATATCCCACTAATTCTACTTTTTCTCTAACCTCTTTTATCTCGATTGCACTTTATCTCATTTTCTGTAACATTGCTAATTGCCAGTATTCTGACGACGCGAGTCTTAGCAACCGAATCGCGGTCGTTTAACTGAGCTTTAGTAATCTCACACGAAAATGTCACCGGTACTGCACTAAGCCAGCTTGACGAGTGAGCAGTAGACAGTGCTAATTGCATGGTACACAATCTTGGATGACACTACAGCTACAGCTGTCTGCTTCATATGTATTACAGCATTTTTGGCATCACCCGAACAGTTACGCGCTAATGAGCGACCTCGATGCTTTTTGGGACCAAAATCACGTCCACACGTGACTCAAGTATTAGGCCCTTTGCAATTAGCTGTTAACTTACGTCGATTGGTATTCCCGTATTATCCACAATGCTGAAAATCACTTTAAACTGCAACCCGGGCACCCATAAAGATAACACTCACCTTCCGCCTGTCTCGTACTACCATCAGGCTGACCATCCTCTCTCACAAAACGGCGTACGTAATCCAGACCGAAGTACAACCATCTCGCAACGTCGGTGTCCCCTGTATAACTGATCCTCAAAGATTTTAGCTTGATGGGGTCCCCAAAGTGTCAAATGAACTGCATTGGGGTTTCACTTTCAACTTGCATTGGTTTTGCATTCTCATCACTGTTGTTACCATCGCCTGTCTTGCGCTTGCTGCTCTGTGATGAATGCGTACTCACATCTGGATTTTTCTTTGTATCTCTAGTTACACCAGCTTCAATAGGTCAGGATTATCTTGCGTTCCGTGTTTGGACGTCGATACCTAAATTCACTACATTCGGACGTCCTGTACTTATGGAACAGGTGACCCAGCATCTGAACTACGGTTGTGCCTTATCTTTCTGGTTGAGCAGCCTGTTTCGAAGATATTGTAGTTTCCTGAAGTCCGTGTTGATAATCAGCTTTGTTTGCTCTCCCTATTTGATCTAGGTACCGGCCTCCATTTCGTATGCATTACAATTTTAGTTGCATCACTCATTTTCCTATTCATTCATGCACTACAAGCATTGAATTGTGCAATGGTACCATATCCGTTATTCCGCAACGTAGCCCGAGAACAGGTTACCTCACAGAGTCCACTGAATTGCTACTCTACCACGAACGTATTGTATGTATCCTTGGCTTCTCATGATGTGTATTGTGTCGCAGTTACGATGGAATTGAAATGAGTGTAATAAAGTGGGGCGGATACACCACACACGCACACGTCACGACGCATCTGTGACCACACATACCTGCTATCTTTTAACCCCACCCTGAAAACTGCGGTGTGTCTGTTACCGAATCCCATTGTCTACGACCAGGCCTCGGATGCTAACCACATCGGTGTAGAAGATGAATTCTCGCGATATATTTCCAACATCTTATAGACATTTACTATCTCAACAGTTTATCACATACGTAAGTCCTTACTTATTCCCTTTAACTGCAGCCATTGAAATGCGAGCTTCTGGTTACCTCAATCTCGCAGCCGATTCCGTTCACAATTTCGCAGATGGGTTGGCTATCGGTAAGTCTGCGCACTATGATTTTTAGCTGAAATTCTACTTTACCATGTCGCATCTAACTTATTGTGTACAAGTTAGCTTGATTTCCAGTGTATTTGAAATAGGTGCATTCACAGCTGTATTTCTCCACTCTCCTGTGGCTATCAACTGTGGTTATAAACTCGATGATATTTGGAGTTTGTGGGTGTGCTGTATGAGCGGCTAAGTCGGCTAATGTTGTGGGGGCTACCCTGTTTTCTTCACGGCAGTTATGTGCAAGTCATTGAATAGTGCACGGTGCTATATCACATATGGTAACTTAGCCACGACGGTCGTTGCTGTCTCCCGTAGCTCAGTGTTCACAACCCCAGACTGGCAGCAATTTAGCTGCGGGTTGGAGCCCCACAACGATCAGATGGAATGCGCGCTACTGACGATTCCCGAAAGGATGAAACCTGCCTACGAGGATTTCCTGGGCATGTGATAGCTGTCTGAGTGAGTCTGGACGTAAGGAATTTTTACCTCTACCATTCAGCTCCCCCTGTTACTAAATTTGTTAATCTGTTTGCACCGGTAGTGACAATGATAATAGCTACCCTTGTAGCTTGCTGCCGTACTCTTGGCAGAAGAGTAGACGGATCCTGGCACACGATGAAGCTGCACGACCTTTGGTCACATCATGGTTCATGGCCTGATCGGGCATCTTTTTACTGAAGCTGAGTTCGCTAAGCATGCCTAATTTTCCACTCCCTATAAATTTCAACGTAGATTTTCAAGATGTAAGTGCTGAGGTCTACGTGGTAAACAAGTGCTTAGTTTGCATTGTGCGGTCGGCTTCATCTTGCTTGGTATGTAGCTCTCTGTTGCTTTATGGCGTCTGTTTTCCCCTGAATGTTCTAATGATTCTGCCTACATTAACACCCCTTACCCTTCCCTAACCTTGCTCATCCTAAAGGTGTGGCCTGCTGATTTACAGTTTTTCGATACCAACGAACAACTTCTAAGTGCCGATGCATCACTCTTCATGATAATTGTACTGAGCACAATAACAGATTATCTCCTTGTTGTGTTTTATCATATGCGGTCAAGTTGGTCGCTACCTTCCTTTATGCTGCGGAAGGCTATGTATTGTGTTCCTTTCAATCTACGAGAACATCAGACGTACGACAAGATAGGGAAATTTTGAGAAGTCAACTTTTGTTGAACATTTGCACTGATGTGACTCCAATGGTGACGAGTGTGCCTACGTGCTTGCTGGTCGTCCAACTAGTTTTTTAGAACATGCGTCCCCTATTTTAATGATGGATGCTATCCCCTTCATTTTTTCATGCCAACCTTCCATTACCATTCTTTTTTCTCTGTATTTTAGGTGCCTCCTTCCTCATAAGTCGCAACGTCGGGATGATCACCACCCTCACAGTTTTGCTCCATGAATTGCCACATGAGATGGGCGATTACGCTATCCTCATTCAGTCCGGTTGTTCGGCTCGTAAGGTGAGTAATAACACCTATTTGTCTGCTTTATTATGTTCCCATTAAATTATGCAGGTGGCAGTTACTCGCGTGTATCAACGATGAGCTCTACATCCTCCTTGATCAGTACCCTCTCACTTCCTCCGACACAAGACAGTCATTAGGCCACAAACGGGATCGAAACGGTTAAAATCGTCGAAAAGAAGCGGGACCGGAATAATAGACAAACGCAAGAAAGCCACTAAAATCACAGGGGCTATAAATTGTGCTATACTCTGTTAGATGGGCACAAAAGTGCGCGATAGCACGAAACACAAGCTGCAAAATATCGAACACAATGATAGGTATACATTTATCGGAGATCAGAGTACTAAAAAGCGGAAATCGTTAAATGAAGAGTCAAGAGCATGCAGCGGATCCACTGATTTCGCGGCGACGCGGTGAAAGATGCCGCAGCGTCGAAACCACATACTATGAGGATCGAATGCAACAGTTCAAATAATCATCGTTAACAGCAATACATCAGCCTCTTGAACTGATGCTTCGCTGTCGTATAACTACAGTGACCTACGGAACGAAGAACAATAAGAGGGAGAGCAGAGGGTACTAACGGTAAACCCTAATGCCCTAAACAAGCACTCGGAGTCAAGGCGCGTACACCTTTTCAACAACACACCATCACAAACAGCTGGCTGTCGCGTATGGATAAGGCGGCATCAGCGAGAGAGCTTCATTGCGGCTTTCACTCCCCCGCGTCATAATCAGCTATTATCCCGCAGATGATTCAGCACCAAACACACCTTAAACAGACAACCCGACTAGGAAACAACCGCAGACACGCCACTGGTGTCGACTGCAAGAAATGTCCTGTAACACAAGGCGGGTCACGTGGAATCCAGGCTGGAAGACGAGACGGACCGACGGCACCGAGTTGGGTCGTCAGTAACTTCATTTCCCACTTTTAAGTTAATTTTTGCCCACCTCGGGCCGTTTCGCAACCCTATATCTGGTAAACAAAACAAGACTATCCTCGGTAAACGGTGACTAGGCATACGTAGTACGTACCCGGGCCAACTCAACTTATTCAGTGCTATCTGTTGTTCCAAGGAACTAGCCTGGTTATCATTGCCTAGTACTGTCTTACGCACATCATCGTTACGGACACGCTGGTGCCATCTGACACCAGCACTGCTTCGCAGACAACAAGGATCGAAGACTTGAAGACGCCGCAGCTTCTCAGATCGGAGGGGCCAAGTCTCTCTTCCTTAATGCAGGGCGGCCCTCACTGTGGCTTTGTAAACACGCTCTTTTAGATGGAGGGGAACTCCCTTTCTGCCGCCACAGATGCCGCAGATTCAACAAGGCAGTTCTAGTCGAGGGGACCCAACTGGCGCTTTGAACAAAATGAAGTGGGAGGTCCGGTTCCTGGTACAGATGGTATCGGAAGCATGAGCCTGCTTGACACAGCACAATTGGTGGAACATATGGGAAAGACGTACACCCGTACAATACACCTGTATCAAGAACGCCACAGAAAAAGCAAGATGTGTCTCCGTACTCAATCAAGAGGTAACATGCTCAACACACCGAATAATCAATTTTAACCTTCCGGATTTTACACAACCAATAGAAAAAGAGTTGCTGTGTTTCAGCAAGCCAATGAAACATGTGTAGTGACATGGTGATGTATTGGCCGCAACAACCACTCCCCCTTTTGAAGAGCCGTGTCACTTGGGCTGGCATCGCTCGACATGCTTCGGTAGTCTGGTGGACCTGCGAAGCTGACTTCGCGGTAGCGGCGATTCGGCTTGGTGTTCATATATAGTTTTAGATTGGGTATCTGGTCCATGGGCGCTGTGCAACCGGCGTGCATTGGGAATCAGGCCGTTTTCCAATCGGTAGGTCCCTCTTTTTAGTCTCTGTAACTTGCAACGACGCGGATAGACCTGGAATGCCCTTATGCATAGCCAGTTTTTTAACGCCAACGTATGTTCCGGACTGCATTGGAGTTGACGATCTGGTGTAGGACTTTTGTTAACGTGCCTCGCGATTTGAAACTTCTGCAGGTCCAGCAGATGACAGGTTATGTGCAACATTTAGTTTGGTGCTTAAGGGCCTTCCTAACATCAGCTCCACCGTCGTTCTTCCGGTAGCCCTGTGATCACAAGTTCTGTAGGGAAATACAGCAGTTAAGACAGCATCTTCTCAGTCTGACCCTCCTAATTGGATGGCCTGTATAGCTTCCTTGAGGAATCGGTTGAGCCCGTCGACCATGTCATTGTCCGCAGGATTGTAAGGTGTAGTTCTGGAGTGTTTTATGTTGTGGCACTGAAAGAAAACTGCAAAATCGTGGCTACGAACTTTGTGGTCTATTGTCCGTGACTATTTCTTCCGATAGTCCGAAATGACTGAACAAGTGTTTAAGCCAGCGTAACACACTTGGTCGCACATGTGGACTTCAGGCCCCTTACTGTAAAAACATGTAGCAACATGTGGAGTTCTCTTCTTCGTAGCAGTGGTGCCAAAGGACCCATAATATCAATGGCGATCTTAGCCCACGGCTTCATCGGGTAAGTAATAGGCTGTATTTGGGCTTCAATTGGTAGAGAACTTTTGTCCGCTATGCGACAAGCGTCACAGTCCATCACAAATGTCTCAATGCTAGATACCATTCGTGGACACCAAATGTAGTGTTCCGCTCGGTTTTTGATCCGAATGATACGCGGCTCTCCCTCAATCTGCCGGAGATGCTAGTCGCGATGAAATCGGTGTCGGAATTTAAGAGATTCCTCGATGCACAATGTACAGACTACAGGTATAGGGAGCGAATCGCACCCGGATAAAAGGTAATGCGGCTGCAATGTGCTGCCACCGCGCAGGAACCACCGACATGATTCCGCTCATGTGCCCGATCCACGTATGATGGAGCAACACGGATTTTTCTCTTCTGGCCCTCTATTTTCAGTATTCATGTGCACACCGAATAATCATTTTAACCTTCCGGATTTCACACAACCAATAGAAAAAGAGTTGCTGTGTTTCAGCAAGCCAATGAAACATGTGTAGTGACTTGGTGATGTATTGGCCGCAACAACCACTCCCCCCTTTTGAAGAGCCGTGTCACTTGGGCTGGCATCGCTCGACATGCTTCGGTAGTCTGGTGGACCTGCGAAGCTGACTTCGCCGTAGCGGCGATTCGGCTTAGTGTTCATATATAGTTTTAGATTGGGTATCTGGTCCATGGGCGCTGTGCAACCGGCGTGCATTGGGAATTAGGACGTTTTCCAATCGGTAGGTCCCTCTTTTTAGTCTCTGTAACTTGCAACGACGCGGATAGACCTGGAATGCCCTTATGCATAGCCAGTTTTTTAACGCCAACGTATGTTCCGGACTGCATTGGAATTGACGATCTGGTGTAGGACTTTTGTTAACGTGCCTCGCGATTTGAAACTTCTGCAGGTTCCGCAGATAACAGGTTGTGTGCATCATTTATTTGGGTACGTAAGGGCCTCCTTAACATCAGCTCCGCCGGCATTCTTCCTGTGGCCCTGTGAACACAAGTTCTGTAGGAAAATACAACAATTAGACAGCATCTTCCCAATCCGACCCTCCTAATTGGATGGCCTGTATGGCTTCCTTGAGGAATCGGTTTAGCCGCTCGACCATGCCATTGGTCGCAGGATTGTAAGGTGCAAATCTGGAGTATTTTTGTGTTATAGTACTGAAGGAAAACTGCAAAGTCGTGGCTACGAACTTTGTGGTCCATTGTCCGTGACTATTTCTTCCGATAGTCCGAAATGACTGAACAAGTGTTTAAGCCAGCGTAACACACTTGGTCGCACATATGGACTTCAGGCCC